CAAAGAAGGTGTGGTGGTACACATCTTTGCCCACGTCATCCAGGTCGTTGTGCTTGCCCCCTGCTCGGATGCACTTCTGAGTGTTGGTGGCTCTGCTCAGTTTAGCGAGCGGGTGTGAGGGGTCGATGGTATTGAGGAAGATGGGTTTGAACTGCAAGGAGAGAAAAAGGACAAGTGAAACTGCTAGAAAAGCTGAGAAACTGGGAAAAAAGGCAACCAGAACCTGTTTTCAAATGTTGCAAGCAACAGTGAGGCAGTAAGTGTCATGATATCACTAGTCTGAACATACCCAAAGCACCTTTCAGAAACAAACCTGCTGCTCCTGTCCATGAGAAGGCTGTCTAGGACTCAGCACTCACACACAAACGGGTATTCCTAGAGCCTACCAAACCCCAGGCCTTCCAAAGGGACTGAAATCTGCCAAATTCCCAGCTGCCAAAAAATGGGGTGCTGATCTGCAGCAGAGTCCTTGCAGCATCCCAGTCTCAACCATTCTTCAAAGACACCATTAGTCATTTGTGCCAGGACTGCTGCGGTACCAAGGCTCACCATAGGAACCTGTTCCAATTTTGTGAGAGCACAGAGGATTCCAGAGGACACACCACCCATCTCTGTGACCAGAAGGAAGGTGGAGTAAGCAATAATTTTCCCAACAGCTCTGCAAACCGCTTCACAGGTTCCAACATAATATGTTCGTAGGCTCACAGTGCCAGGGTGGGAATCCTACCTGATTCATACCAGCATTGGCAAAAAGCAGAGTGGGGTCATCCAGGGGGATTGTGGAAGATGAGTGCACGTAGGTGTGCTTGTTTTCCCTGAAGAAGTCAATGAACCGCTGCCGGATCTGGCTGGCAGTGAGCGGGGTCTCCATCTGGAAGCTGGAATTTGCCACTGTCCAAAGCAAGTGGCAGCAAAGTGGCAAAACCTCGGTGCAGTCTGAACAAATGAAAACAAACAATAGTCTGATGTACTGTCAGCTCAAGGTGAATATCAGGATCATTGTCTCCAACTCCTGAAAGGGTCTCCCCACATTGTTAAGTACTCACTGACCCTTCTGTTAAACCATAAATCTGCCCCAAATAGTGGTGGCCCAAACTGAAATTTCCTCTCCTCCAAACTCCCTGATTTCTGGGGCTCTACCTCAAGTCACCTGTTCTTTGAAAATGCATAGTTACAAAATATCAAATTCTCATGGATACTAAACTTAGTAGGTTGTGTTTGCCTTACTGGAGACAAGAGGAACTGCCAAGTCACCAAAGCATTCAAGGTGATTAAATGCAGAATGAGGAGACATCATTGCAGCCTTCCACTATTTAAAGGGGCTTATAAAAATGATGGACAGCAACTTTTTACATGGGTAGATAATGGTATGACAAGGGGAGGGAACAATTTCAAACCAGAAAAGGAGAGATTTAGGTTAGATGTCAGGAAGAAATGATTCCCTGTGTGGGTGATGAAGACCTGGCACACGTTGCCAAGAGAAGATGTGGCTTCCCCATCACTGGAAGTGTTCAAGGCCAGGTTGGATGGGGCTTGGAGCAACATTGTATAGCGGAAGGTGTCCCTGCCTGTATCAGAGGTGTTGGAATCAGGTGAGCTTTAAGCTACCTTCCAATCCAAACCCTTCTGTGATTTAATGACTAAACCATAGAACAGTTTGAAAGTGACCCCTGAATATAACCTTGTCCACCCTCTCTGCTCAAAGCAGAGCAGGCTGCAGGGATGCCCAAAAGCCTCTCCTGAAGGGACCCACATCCCCACACGCACACCAGAGGCAGGTGACAGCCTGGAGCGCAGCACCGCCCGTGTCCTACACCGGCTGTCCCTGACAGCGCAATGCTGATCCAGGGAGGCAGGCGAGATCCCAGCAGCCTGCTGCGGCGCGGAGAGACGGGAACTCCCATGGCAGCAAGGCCTGGAGAATTCCCAGCACTGAACCAATCCGCTTGGAAAAGCCCTCTGAGATCACCGCGTCCAACCTCGATGCTGCAGGAGGGAAGGACCCGAGGTGGGGAGAACCAAGCAGAGCAGCGGCCGCAGGACCTGTCAGAGCCCCTGCCCAGACACACCCGCTCTCCAGCGCCCGAGCCGGGCTGAGGGCACAGCGCTGCCCGCCAGCGCCGCCGGCCGCCCGGCGTCCCCCCGCGGGCCCGCATGGGGCGCGACCGCCACCGCCACCCTCCCGCCCTGCCTTCTCCGTGCCCCTGTGCCCGCGGGTCCCGGCCGGGCCACGGGAGCCGCACGCAGCAGCCGGAGCCGCCCAGGCCCCGGGGCCGTACCTGCGCGACCACCGCCGCCGCCCCTCGCTCCGCTCCTCCGGCCGCGCCGCAGCGCCCGCCCCGCCCCTCCGCCGGCCGCCACTTTCCATTGGCTGCGGCGGCTGTCACTCTTCTGCCAGCCCCACCCATCCGCGCGGTGCCCCGCCCCCCGCGGCTGATGCAATGGCGGGACACGGCGGCCACGTGACGCGCGCGGGCTGAAGCCTCAGTGGGCGCCGCCATTTTAGGGGTGCCGGCCCTGCCGCCCGGGATGTGCCCCGGGAGTCGGGCTCGTTCCCTGGTGTGCCGAGAACCGATAATGACACACCGAGTGAGGCATCGTTTGTGTCAGAGCTGCCCAGCCTGGCTGCTCGGTGGTGTTCCACAAACCCAGCACACCCCACCGGGCTTTCCATGCTGTTATTTATACACAGAAATTCAGGGTTAGTGACTTCTCAGGCACAGCCCTTCTCTTAGGATGGACCAGTACCTTCCATACAAATCATGTAACCCCAGCTAACTTCTACTCATGCTCTGGGCAAGGGTCTTCACGTGCGGAGGGTCTTTTTCATCTGGAGGTGTGCTTTTTAGCGTTACAATGAAGATAGTTTAGCTCTAAGACACACAGACCTGGAGTATCTTGCCAAGTTAGCAATCCCTAAATCTTGTTAGTTCCGGAATGTCCTTGAGTGAGGGATGCTGGCCTCTTCCAGCGATTAGCTCTCCTTTCCTGCTGATTAGGCTAGAAAGTATACAAAGGTCTTACATCAAAGAACAGCCTGCCTTAAGATAATACAGACGGACACATTCCACATTTCACAACAATGATGCTGCCTGCTCAGGAGCTGTGGGGCTGAGCCGGGAAGGGGCTGGGGCAGAGCGGGACCTGCCTGGGGGTGCTGGGCTCGGGGTGCTGGAGGGGTGAGCAAAGCCCTGCTGGGGGATGCAATGGCTACAGGGTCTTTGCAGGGGTCTGCGGGGTCAAGGTCAAGGCTGTGAGATGCAGAAGTCACTGCATGGTCATGCAGCTCACAGGAAGGGCCTTGTGGACCCAGGACAAGGGGTACGGCATGTATGCAGGGGAGGTGCCACGCTGACAAAATTATTCTCAGGACAATCAAGCATTGAAAGGGGGTTTGGGGAGTCTGCGGGATCCCTGGAGGGTTTTGAGGTCAGGTTCAAGCCCTGGGCAACCCACTCTGAAGTCACTGCTGATCCTGCTCCTCCCGGTGGGCCTTGGAGTGGAGTCCTCTCAGTTCCCCTCTAGCCTGGATGGTTCCCAGGTGCCTCTATAGCATTGTAAGCTGCTCTCATCTCTTCCCTGGTGCATACTTTCTGGCCCTGGGCTGTGATTCTGGAGCCATCAGTGTGCCAGTGCTGCTGTCCTTGGCTGCCATCGGTCAGCCCTTTCCAAGGGTCACTCCCCTGTTTGGCACTGGCCCATAGCCCTTCCTGGTTGTGCAGCCCTCTTTGCTTGTTTCTGTCGTTTCCTTTCCGAGGAGCCTGGAGAAGAGGAAACTCCAGTCTAATTTGTTCCTGATGGGAGCTCTGCTCTGGATGCTGCTGTCAGAGCAGGCAAGTCTGTGCAGTGCAATTGTTCGTGCAGGTGATTACACCTGCAAGAACGTCTGCTACAGCAGGTCTGACTCCAACACCATCCAAATCCACACCCAGCATGCTTACCTCTCATGGGGGCCATGGTCTGTCCACCACCATGGAAGGAAACATCACTGCTTCTTCCTCATCATGATCTGTGTCACCTGAAAGATCATCTTCCAATCATGGGGGCCCTTCACCCCACGTGTTTCTTTGGTGATTGCCAAATGTGGAACCACTCAGCTACTTGGGAAAGAGAGATTTATTGCCAAATGTGGAACCACTCAGCTACTTGGGAAATAGAGATTTCTGTCCCCCCTGCCACACTGAGCAACAGGCATGTACCATGAGGCACATCCAGATGGGATGGACCCACCCCCACTGCTTTCCTCTTCTTTTTTCCTGCCCCACCTCATATTCATGTTGCCTGAATTTTTCTGGTTTAGCTGAGGCTTTTTACATGGCAGTTCTTTGCTTCTTTTAATACTTCTGCATCCTAAAAATCCATGCCCCCGGGCTGGCCTGGGTTGCAGCAGCATTGCTTTTACAGCCATTTATTCTGCTTATAAGCATCCAGCATTGTCCTCCAGCAAGGAGGAAGGTGATGGATGTGAGCTTGAAGCCCCAGCAGTCAGTGGTCAAGGCTGCAGGGAGTGGGGTGTCCTTCTCTGCTGGCTTCTGGATGCTCTGGGGGGAAGTGTTGGCAGGATTGGAACCAGCAGTACACAAACTGCACTCCCTGTGCTTCCCAGGCTGGGCTTTGGATTAGTGTCTCAGAATTCAACCATCCCAAACTTACCCCCCAAACAAGGAGATTGCTGGCCACAGCCAGATTTGAACCTTTTCTCCTTTTCCTCATAGTGCTCTTCCAAGCCTGTGAAGAGGTGGACATTCTGCTGTTACAGAGATTTTGGGAGATGGGGCTTTAGAGGAGCATAGTAATAATGCAGGTGACATGCAGCCCCATGTGCCAAATGTCAGGGAGCCCTTGGTCCTCTTGGGATCCTGGCTCCATTTGGGGCAGGTGAGGGGCCAGGTGCTGGCACTGTCCTGGTCCCCATGGGTGCCCAGAGCCACACCCTGGGCTGTGCCGGGCTCCTCTTCACGTCAGGCAGGCGGCAACTCTGCCATGTGTCACCGCCCGGCGCAGAGGCTGGGGACATGGCTGCGCTGGCTCGGAGCGTCCTGGTGACAGGGTCCAGCCGGGGCATCGGGCTGGAGCTGGTGCGGCAGCTGGCCGCCAGCCCCCGGCCCCCCCAGCACATCTTTGCCACCTGCCGCGACCCCGAGGGTCCGAGAGGGAAGGTCAGTGCGGGCACAGGGAACAGGGTGGTGCTGAGGCAGGTGAGCAGAGGGGATCCGCAGTCCCCTCAGCCCTGTTGGCTCGCTGTCCTGGCTGGGCAGCCCAGGAGTGCTCTGGGGGTCTTGCAACCCCCTCCCCCAGCTCCCTGCATAAGGCAGTGCCCAGTGTGGCCGGGTGGGATGAGGCTGGAGAGGCAGACATGTCTGTTACGGTGAGCTCATGGACACCCCTTTTTCCCCCCTTTCCCCGGGCCTCTGTGGCTCTGATCATGATAACCCCTGGATCCTTCTTCCTGCCCCAACGGGGTTGGCGGGGAGCCAGGAAAGCCCACCCTGTCCAAAACCTATATAGACCCCTGAGACTTCCTGTTCTTTCTCTTTTGCCCCGCTCTCCATGGACACCACAGAATAAAGAGAGCTGTACCAACCCCCTGGGGTAAGAGCCTCTTTTGAATACTTATCCCTCTCCTGGTATTCCCCCCCTCACAGCCCCATATCTCTGAGCTGGTCGGATTCTTTGGGGGCTGCGTGGAGAGGGGGAAAACTACAGAAATTACACATGTCTTCAGCACTTGCTCCTGGCTGTGCCAGTGACCAGCCAACCCCTTTTCTGTGCTGGGACCACTCAGGATGGAGGGCAGTTCCTAAGCCCAGCAGTACCATTCCTCTGCTGGCTGTGGGGTTGCTGCCCTACCCCATCCACAGGGAATGGCCCTGCACTCTTTCCCCAGAGAAAGCGAAGCCACCCTGGCACAGTGACTTGGGAGCAGGGGTGGGACACCTGAACATGCCACTGCTGGCTTCTAATCTTTTCCCTTGCCCCATCACTTTATTTCCAGGCCCTGCAAGAATTAGCTACCCAGCACTCCAGCATCAAACTGGTCCAGCTAGGTATGGAGCAACCTTTCTCCTTGCACCCAACATTGCTTCCAGCTCTCTGGTGACTTTGGAGGTGGGACCAGGGGTAGCTTTTGCAGGAAGTTCTAGGCCTGCCAGGTGGGGAGGGATCTATGGGAGGGATCCATGCACACCTGGGCAAGCTTCTCCCTGCAAATTAAGCTGTGCCCTGGCTGGAGCAGTCAAACTGGCTTCAGAGGAGGCAGAGGTGGGTCCAGACATCTCAGCTGAGCAAGTTTTATGGGAAAGGCATGATGTCTCTTCCCAGAGATGCTAAATACAGTGCCCAGCTTTTGGGCTGGGACACATGGGTTCACAAAGTGAAGCAAGGCAGGGCACAGTAACCGCCTGGATGGTTCCTAAGTAGGAGGGTTGGTTTGGGATCCCTTGGGATCCCCTTGCAGGTGGCCATGATTGGTATTTCTTTCAGGCAGAAAAGGGAGGAAAAAAATCGCTAAAAATAACACATGGAAATCTGCCCAGCCTGGTATCCCAGGCTGATGCTCTGACCCAGAGGCATGGGATGTCCACAGCCTGGACTGGGGAGTTCTGCTCTTGGCCATTCCCTCCTTGTATGGATGTAGGCCAAACTCAAATGACTTTTTTCAGCAGCATTTGGGAGAAGCACAAGGCAGCAAATAGACCTAGACAGCATAAGGAGAACGGCTAGGCTGGCATTTGGAGTTGGCAAAGTTGGGGTAATCACAGGAAAGAAGCTTCCAGGGTGCTAGACAGGGACAGGGTCTTGCTAGGGAGGACAGTGTTTGGGTGAAGAGTTTGGGAGATAAGGAGCATCTGGCTGAGGAAATGTCTCAAAGAGCAGAAATTTCCTGTATTCCCCTGTGTCTGAGTGGGGGCTGTTTTTATTAATAAAGAATTAAAAGATCATCTAAATTCAAAAGAAATGTTTTGGCAAAGTGCCTGCACTAGGATTGCCATTGCTGTAATGAGTGAGGTGGGAAGAACCCATAACTTCTAAATATTTGTATTTCATTGGAGCCAATAATAAGAAAACTGAACCAAGGCTATTCAGTATCAGTACCTACCTACATACCTACCTACCTGTTTACTTGTTTAAAAGCACCTGATAAGTTCAAGTAACTTCAGTTCAAGTTCTGTTTTTTAAATATTTTTTAGACAATAAGACATTCTTGAATTCAGGCTTTACTACAAAGAGGCAGCAAATCTCTCTTTTGCTATTAAGTAGATTATTAAAGTAAAACATCTTCTCTGTAACAAAAATTAAATCAGCTGTGAGCCCCAACTGGCAGTGACTGGTGGGAAGAGCATGGCCAACATAAAAAGGGCTGGCCACTACATGAACAATCTTTACTAAAACATACAGCCTAAGCCCCAGACTGTCAATAAAGTCCCAAAATAAGCTTAAAAGTGCTTAAATATCAACAGCAACAAAATATTTTCTAAAAAGAGAAGTTGCTTCCAACTCTCTTGCTCCACAATAAGTAAGAGAGCTGGAAGGGTTGTCTTCAAACCAATAATAGGCATGGACTTTTCAGAAAGAAAAGTTAAAAAAATAACTCGAAAATGTGTCAGATCTGTCACTTCATTATCTCTCTTTCTTTCCCACCCCTATTTCTTCCAGGGAGACAAATTTTTTATTTCAGCAAATTTGGTGGTTAAGGACTAAAAATGTCTTGGTCCCACATGCCTTGGAACCATGACTCAGCTAATCCAAACAGAGCAGTTAATCATTCACCAGGTGACCAAAAGATCCCTCACATGTGGTGGAGTGACAGAACCTTGAACTTCATCCCATTGTTATCCAAGGAAGTAATTCCAAAGCACTCTGTGATTTATCTTGCAACTGGACCTGCAATATCCTCTTGAATCCCAAGGCTCCTTCCCCTCCCAGCAGCTTTACAGCAGATAATCCCAGATTATCCCAAATGTTTCAGGACACCTGTACAAAGGTCTGCACTGCACAACACAAGGTAGCAACAAGTCCCATGCCTCTCACATACTTGCTTACCACCATAAAGACATCATGCTAGTTAAAAATGCCAGGAAAAAGGATATTTTTGCTGCCCACCAGTGTATAAATATTCCAAGAAAGAAATCTTCAGCCTTGGAAACCTATGCTAAGTCACTCTTTCCTAAGCATGAGAACAGAAATACAGCTCAGGGGCCAAACTGTTTCAAAAAAATAAGGAATCTGCAATCCTCCACTCCCAGCAGGCTCATCACATTGGCATCTGCAAAAAACAGGCACAGAAATGTGCATGGGAACAAGGGCACACCAACCTGCCCATACACGCGAATATTCATGGTTTTAAGGGCTCTGTGTTACACCTGAGGTATTAAAATGCAATATATAAAGTTTAATGTTGATCTAATCAGCCTGTTTCATAGTCTGAAGGTATTTAGATTACTTTTTTAAACAAACAAACTATGGCCACTTCAGCTGGTGAGTATCCAGGACAGGATGTAAATCCTAACAAGCAGCCTTGACAGCTGGACACAAACTTAAAAAAACACCACTTTTATTGCCTAAGTCAGAAAAATCCTGCAGTTAAAGCATGGCAGAATTTCAGAAGCTATACCAATACTTAAGCAAAGAGGAAGGCACTGGGGGTGCTTATCCCTGTTAGCCCAGTTTCAGTTCTGCCTTGTTGCTTGAGAGGGGTTGTCTCCACAACTTGGTCAGTAGGGACAGGGAAGTTCAGATTTAGAGCCTGCAACCAAATACTGCAGGTCACATCCCAAATCTTTCATTACTTGTACTCACCTCAGCTCATCTGTCAGCTCCAAAACCTTGTGGGTAACAGCATGAAGAAAAAAATGGCTCCCTGTGGAAACCCGGGAGTCTCAGTGTGCAAGGACCAGCATTCCTTGCACAATCATAAATTCCTTGAATACAGAGAGCAAATACAGACAAGTTTTTCCTACCAGTAGCCCCCACATGACCCAAAATTAGTTGAATCAAGGTTTAATTCAGCTGAGGCTGCAAAACCAAGAGGTGAGGACAAACTGCTGCTCATTCCAATGTGCTTAATCTGCTAAACCTGCTGCATCCTTTCTGGATAAGAAGTGCTGGTTCCAGCCACAGCACAATTTCCAGTGGGTGCTGTGTGATCCATCAGAGCTATTCTTCACTTTGCTTTTTCCCTGGCAGACACAGTGAATTTGCCCAGCATCCAAAGGGCCATGCAGGCTGTGGGGTATCATCTGAAGGACCAGGGCTTGAACCTGCTCATCAACAATGCAGGCATCAGCTCCCACGCCACACTGTGCTCCCTGGACTCACAGGAGATGCTCAACGTGTTTGCCACCAACGTGGTTGGGCCACTGCAGGTTGTCAAGGTATGTCTGGACCTTTTGTGTTTCTCCTGCTTGGGAAGATGTTCCCTGATGGGAAAAAGGGCACATCATTGGATCTCCCCAGAGGAGCTCAGCAGCTCAGCCAAGTCCAGCATCACCATGCTTATTTCTTCCCCACCTGGAGCCTGCACCAGGCTCACTGTGCCGGCTCACTCCTTTCCTGGGGATGGGAAAGGCTGGAGCCTGACCCCTCCTTGGGGCATTTTCCCCATCCCCTGCACTTCTGCCAGGAGTGTCTGTCCAGCTGCTTGTCTACAGTCTGTGACAGAGCCCTCCAGGATGGTCCTCAAATTGGGGTTCTGTTGCATTTAATGAAGCGTTGGTGTCTTTGCATCAGGAATTTCTGCCACTCCTGGAGCAGGCAGCCAAGGCAGGAAAGGAGGGTCTGAGCTGCAGCAGGGCTGCTGTCATCAACATCTCCTCCAAACTGGGCTCCATCGGGCTGTGCCTCCACGTCCCAGAGGCTCCCATGTACCCGTACCGGGCCAGCAAGGTGAGGTGCCAGGGGAGGAGCTGGAGATGCTGTCCCAGGCACGGTGCCCATGGAGGGGAGGGAGCCCATGGTTCACCCCCAGCCCCAGCCACCCACCCCCTGCCCGGTTCTCCCAGGCAGAAGCACAAGGACTGGGACAGCAGCAGGCAGGACTGAGCCTTCCCAGCAGGTCATGCGGATGCTTTGTCACAGGACAAGTCCCATTTCCCACCTCCACAGACATTTTGTGGTTATGAAATGTCTCCTCTCCTGCCTGCCCACTCCCTGAGTTGTGCTGGCAGGGCTGTGCCTCTTCCAGGCTGCCCAGAACATGGTGACGAGGTGCTTGGCTGCGGAACTCCAGGACAAGGCGATCTTGTGCATGGCCATCCATCCTGGCTGGGTGAAGACTGACATGGGCAAAGAGGAGGTACTGGGCTGTGCAGGGGGTGGTCAGCAGGACCCCCACTGAATCCCCATGTCTTGGGAGGGCAGAGGCACTTGGGGGATCTTGTGTGATGCTGTGGGCTGCCAGGACAGAGCAGGAGCAGAGAAGGCAGGGAGCAGGCAGCAAGCTGCGACATACCAAGTACGTGGGATAGCCAGCCCTGTCTCCCCAAGCCAGCCTGGAGAGGTGTGGCAGTAAGGAAAAATATCCCCATCAGCATCATGCATCATGGATGCTGCTCCCAGGCATACACCCTCCCCAGCAGCTGCTGTCTCACTGTCCTTTTCTGCAGGCACCGCTGACAGTGGAGCAAAGCGTGAGGGGCATCCTGACCGTGCTGGCTAGCGTCTCACAGGACACCTCTGGAGCCTTCCTCGACTGGGAAGGGAACAGCCTGCCCTGGTGATGGACAAATGGACAGCGCCTCTTGCCCGTGCTGCAGCCTCTGCTCGCTGGCTCACCACTCTGCACAGTCACCCCTGCTCACCCTCAGCCCTCCCCACACTGCTGGGGAGAAGGAATCGACTTGGGAAACAACCTCTCTCCCCTTTCCTGCACCGTGTGTTCCCTGTGGTCCCCCTGTACCCCTCATCTCTGTAAACTCTGGCAGCTGATGCCTTTCTGCTCTGTCTCCACCCAGTCTCAAACCCCCTGTCCGAGCCCTGTCTGAGCCTGAGGCAGGATCCCTGTGCTCTGCCCAAGCTCTGTGTGTCCCTCTGTCCCACCTGTGACCAGGCACCCCCCAGCTGAGGGGAGAGGGCAGCTGCTCCCTGTGACCCCCAGCCCCTCAGGCAGCTCAGCCTGGGCCTGGGAAAGCCAGTCCTGCAGGGGCTCAGAAGATCTCTCTCCTCTCAGGAGAGGGGCCCTGCTCCAGCTTCTCCAGTGCCTCCTGGAGGGGAGGTCTCCAGAGGGCAGTCACAGTGCCATGGGACCTGCTGGATGCCAGGGACAGCCACGGGCTGGGGGCAGCTGTGGGCACCACCAGTCCCCAGTGGAGGAGTGGGATATCTGGGAAGGGCCACCCCATGAGCTGGCACTGCACAACAGAGCTGGGGGTCTCAGCAGGAGTTTATTGAGGATGTGGGGGAGGTGGGAGCAGTGCCAAAGGTGGCTCTTGGCTGCCAGGATCCTGAAGTGGTGTCTCACCAGGGTACGACGTTCCCTTCCCAGTCCAGGAAGGCACCGGTGTCCTTCTCAGAGAGGGAGGAGAGGACCTTCAGCATCCCTTGCACACTGTCATCCACTGTCACAGGGGGCTGTGGGGCAGAGGAGGAGATGCAGCCCATGCCCAAGGCCTGGCTGGGGGCCCTGGAGCAGCTGGAGCCAGGGGCAAGAGATGCTCCAGGACAAAGGGAAAGCTGACAACCCCAGGAGGAGGGACTGAGACGAGAACTGAGGGGATGGGGGCACCCAGCACCCAGGACCAGGACAGGGAGACCTACCCCAGCAGGCAGGGAAGTCATGGGCAGGGGCTCAGGACAGCAGCTCCCACCCATGTGAAGTCAGCAGAGGAGCTCTGACGGAGCTGCCCCGGTGGAATTCCTACCGTGTGTCCGGCACAGCTGCCCATGTCCGTTTGCACCCAGCCGGGGTGGAGAGCCACGCAGAGGATGCCGTGCTCCTTGTACGCCAGGGACTGGCACCTGCTCAGCATGTTCAGAGCAGCCTGGGGGACACAGTGCGGGATGGTGGTGGGAGGGGAAGGGGGGCTGCAAGGGGACCTGCAGCTGGCAGGGCAGGGGAAGCAAAAGCAAAGGTGTGGCAGTACCTTGCTGCAGCGGTACGAGGTGATCTGCATCAGCTCCCAGCCATAGGAAGAAGCGATGGAGCCGCCAATGCTGGACATGTTGATGATGGCAGCCTTGCTGCAGCTCAGCCCTGAGCCTGGGCTCCCCTGGGCAGCCTTCTTCAGCAAGGGCAGAAATGCCTGCGAGGAGACAGAGGGGACAGGAGCACACATGGACATGGCACAGGGCAGGGGAGAAGCTCCTTCCACACTGGGCGACACTGACACCGGCACTGAGGCATCCTCCCTCCTCTTCCCTGCCAGGCTCCAGTTCCTGAGCTCCAGCCCATGGCTCCACAAGCTTCTTATAACTGAGAGTGCATTTGTAACCAGAGTGGAGGCAGGATCCCCTTCCACCAGCCCTTCTTCATACTCCCCCAGGAGAGCCCAGCTTGGGTGAGGGTCTCACCTGGCCCATCAGCAGGGGTCCAACCGTGTTGGTGGTGTAAATCTCCCTCATGTCCTCGAATGTCTCGGTATCAAGTGTGTTCACCTTCACAATTCCAGCATTGTTGATGAGGAGGTTCAGCCCAGAGCCCCCCAAGTGCTCCCCAACCTTGGCTGCAGCTGCCTTGATGCTGGTGGGGTCGCTGACCTCTGCAGAGCCGACACAGGGAGGTCAGAGCCTGCGTCCCCACGGTGGAGACCCCTCTGTTCCTCCGGAGGTGGCAGTGCCCGATGGCCCCGCAGGCACCGGCCCGTTGGCACAGCTCCTGCCCAGCACGGGGCTCCCGGGGTGTGCCCAGCCTGGGCACCTGCCAGAGGAACTGGGACAAAGGATCCGCACCTCGGGGCACCTACCGAGCGCGATGATGATGATGTTGGGGTGCTTGGAGGCCAAATTCTGTAACTCCTGAAAGAGAGGGCACTGTGTAGGCATGGAGAGGCTGGAGGGGCTGTGCAGAGGCTCAGCCTTTCCCAGGCAAAGCCCATGCCACTCCATCTCTGTCCCTGCATCACTTTGCGTCCAACATCTGCTCCAGCCACCACATCAGTGGGGCTCTGTGCCTTCTATACATGCCATGTTTCATTCTCCCCTCCACGTATCCCATGCACAAGTGGTCCTATGGTGTCCCAAACCAGCTGACCTGTGCTGTGGGTGCCTGACTGCAGCTCCAGCCCTTGCAAACACCATTCCTGATCCAGTCTCCCTCTGCCCAGTCTCACCTGCGCTCTCTGTCCCTTGGGGTCCCGACAGGTTGCAAAGATCCACTGAGGTGGGTTTGGCATCCTCAGGAAATGCTGGACGAGCCCCAGGCCGATGCCTCGGTTGGCCCCAGTCACCAGAAGGGAGCGGATGTGGAGCCCTGCCATGCTGCCCTGGCTGTGGCTGCACTGCTCTCGCCTAGACCTTGCCACTGCCTTTTGCTACTTGGTTATCTCACATGTTCCCATGAGGACTTGCATCAGCTCCTGGCTCTTGGAAATTCTCTGCCTGCACCTCAATCTCTTGGCTCTGGTCCATACCCATGATCCACTTTTCCTGCTGGCTGTGGAATGACGCAAAGGGAGACAAGTGCCCTGCCCAGGCAGGGAATGCCCTGGGTAAGGTGTCTAGAGTGCTGCTTTCTGTACCTTCCCCGCTCTACCAAACCTGAGCCTTTTGGTTTTCAGGGCCAGCACTGTCCCTGTCCTTGCAGTGTGACACTCTCTCCCACCACCTCCCTCCCTCTTGGGATCCCAGGCCTGTCCCTCCCCTTGCCCAAGGTCAGGCAGGCGAGGCTGGACTCGCTGACTCTGCACAGTGCAGTTTTTTGCCTTAGTTCATGCAATGCCAAAGCCAGGGTTGGGGATGGAGCACTCAGGACAGGTGAATATCCCTTGAGGACTTGAGGATGGAGCAACCAGGACAGACAAGTGTTCCTTGGCCACAAGAATAGGCTGAGAAACCTCAAAACCCCCCAGGACCACTGGAAAAAACCTTCCAGGGCTGACCAGAATGACCTCTTTCCTCAGAGTCTGCTCTAACAGCACCTATAATATTTAAATGTGATAGAAGGATAATCCCTGCCCCATCCCTGGAAGTGCTCATGGACAGGCTGCATGGGCTTCTGAGTAACCTGATCTAGTGTAAGGCATCCCTACTTTTTTAGGGGGGTTGAAACTAGATGGTCTTTAACATCCTTTCCAGCCCAAACTATGGCTCTGTGATCCTATGATAAAATTCAGTTTTGCCCCTGGGTGTGACTTTGGTGTGGCTGGGAGCCAGGGCCGTGCCCAGGCACATACACTGCAGGTGAACATCCAGCCCCAGGGTGGTCCAGGGACTCCCCAGATCTTTCCTGCAGCAGAGACTGAACCAACAGATGGATTGAACTCCCAGGGAAGCATCTGACTGGTGGATTCAGGAGCTTTGGGACAGGCCTGAGGATCACTGTATCATAGAATCATCCCCCAGGAGCTACTATTGCACCTAAAAATCAATGGGGAACCATGACCTGCATGCTTCCATGTGTCCCCACTGTGCAGAGAGGGTCTGGGCATCTGATGGATGACGGAAGGATTGTACTTGGTGGTCTCAGGGATCTTTTTCTGTCTAAATGATCCTCTGACTCTGTGATCCCATAGCCTCCCCAGCTGGTTCCTGCTGCAGCATCACTCAAACTGCACAGACCATTTGCAACAGTGGAAGATACACATTTAAGATAGTTCAGAGATGTTGTGTAGGTAGTTTAAAATAATTAATAACCACTTATACAGGACGTGATTGGCCAGGACTAGGGGGCATAAGCTTGTGGAATGTCTCCTGCTCCAGCTGGAGATGCTGCTCCAAGGTCCTTTGCAACTGGACAATGATGAGCTGTCATGTTCAGGAGATCTGATCCTTCATCCAAATGCACCCTTTGCAACTTTTGTCAGTAAGAGCAAACCCTGCTGCCTACTCTTCTATGTGTGTGGTGAGTTGACCCTGGCTGGATGCCTCACATCCACCAAAGCCACTCTATCACTTTCCTCTGCAACTGGGCAGGGGAGAGAAAAAATGTAACAAAGGTTCATGAGTTGAGATAAGGTCCCGGAGAGATCACTCACCAAATACCACCACAGGCAAAACAGACTCAAAATGGGGATATTAACTGAATTTTGTTACTAACGGAATCAGAGCAGGATAATGAGAAGATAAATCTTAAAAAAATACCTTCCCTCCACTACTCCCTTCTTCCCAGCTCTACCTCCCCCTGCTCAGCAGCACAGGCAGGCAGGGAATGGGGGTTATGGTCAGTTCATCACAGGTTTTCCCTGCTGTGACTCAGGGAGAAGAGTTGGAGTCCTTCCCCTGCTGCAGCATGGGGTCCCTCCCATGGCAGACAGTTCTCCATGAACTTCTCCAACATGAGTCCATCTCCTGGGCAGTAGTTCTCCACAAACTGCTGCAACATGGATCACTCTTCCATGGGGTGCAGTCCCTCTGGCACAGCTTGCCCCAGCTTGGGCTCTCCATGGGGTCACAAGCCCTGCTGAGAAAACTGCTTCAGCATGAGCTCTTCTCTCCACAGGCCTGCAGGACCCTGCTCCAGCACAGGCATCCCATGTGTTCACAGCCTCTTCTCAGGTATCCACCTGCTCCAGCATGGGCTCCTCCTGGGACTGCAGGTGGATCTCTGCAGTCCCACGGCCTCCATAGGCATCGAGGGCACAGCCAGCTCACCATGGGCTGCACGAGAATCTCAGCTCCAGTGCCTGAGCACCTCCTCCCCCTCCTTCTGCACTGACCTTGGTGTCTGCTGAGCTATTCCCCTCACGTATTCTCACTCAGCTCTTCTCTGGCTGCAATTACATCTGCACAATAACTTTTTTGTTTTCTTCTTAAATATGTTATCACAAAAGCATTACCACCGTGGCTGAAGGGTTTGGCCTTGGCCAGCAACTCGTCAGTCCTGGAGCTGTTGCCACAGGCTCTGCTGGACACGGAGGAGCCTCCTGGTATCTTCCCACAGAAGCTACCCCAGAAGCAGCCCCCCCCACCAAAACCTGGCCATGGAAACCAAACACAGGGTGACAATTACATCCACCTTGTCATGCCATTTCACTGCCCTCCGTGTCAGCTCACTGATGGAACCAGAGCCTCCAGCACGGGGATGAACAGCACTGACTGCCCCATCTCACAGCTGAACTGGGTGAGGGGAGGAATTTGCCATCCATTCGACCAGAACATTTCCTAGGCTGCTTGACAGATTTGACCTAGTGGCTTTAATATCTTAAGATGAGATAAAGGATGGGCAAGGCTGTTGTGGCAGGATGCTTCTTCCATCTGGGGAACCCCTGGGATTACCTGGAGCTGGAGCCAAAAATAAAGGAAAGAACATAAAAACAAGGTAGAGTTCCAGGGATGATTTGGCATCATGTGTGAACTACTTAATGGGAAACTGTACTACAGGAGCTGGCCAAAACATGGGGAATCTTGGAATGACTGGGGCTGGAAGGGACCTGTTGTTCCAACACCCCGCCATGGGCAGGGGCACTTCCCCTTAGGCTCAGAGGCCCATCCAACCTGGCTTTGAACATTTCCAGGGATGCGGCAGCCTCAGCTTCTCTGGGCAACCTGTGCCACTGACTCACCCACCAGCAGGGAAGAATTTCCTCATATCTAATCTAAACCCGCCTTTTTTTCTGTTGAACCCGTTCCCCCTTATGCTATCATTGCAGGGCGATGTCCTAAGTCGTTCTCCAGCTCTCCTGTAACGTCTCTATGTACTGGAAACGGCTCCAACATCGCCCCAGATCCTTCTCTTCTACAGGGGGACGGGTACACGCACGAGAAGCGGCGGGGCTGGGCACAGGGACAGGGCGGGACATGAGGATGGGGACTGGGCTGCGATGGAGGGCCGGGGTGGGGTAGGGGATGGGGATGAGGATGAGGAGGGTCGGGAGCTCGGCCCGGCCCCGCCGCCCGCCCCGCCCCGGAGGAGGCGCGGCCGGGCCCCGCTTCCCGTTCCGGGCCGCGCGGCCATGGCGGCGGCGGCCGCTGCGCCCGGCGGGGCGAGCCCGGGGCTGGCGGCGGGGGAGCGGTGAGGGGGCCGGAGGGGTCAGCCCTGAGCCCCTGCCTGCCCTGAGGCCTGCCTGCCCTGAGCCCCTGCCTGCCCTGAGCCCCTGCCTGCCTTCAGCCCTGCCTGCCCTGAGCCCCTGCCTGCCCTGAGCCCCTGCGTGTCCTCATCCCCCCTCATCTCCTGCCTGCCCTGAGCCCCTGCGTGTCCTCATCCCCCCTCATCTCCTGCCTGCCCTGAGCCCCTGCGTGTCCTCATCCCCCCTCATCTCCTGCCTGCCCTGAGCCCCTGCGTGTCCTCATCCCCCCTGAGCCCCTGCCTGCCCTGAGCCCCTGCGTGTCCTCATCCCCTGCCTGCCCTCATCCCCCCTCATCCCCCCTCATCCCCTGCCTGCCCTCATCCCCTGCCTGCCCTCATCCCCTGCCTGCCCTCATCTCCTGCCTGTCCTCATCCCCTGCCTGCCCTCAGCCCCTGCCTGCCCTCATCCCCTGCCTGCCCTCATCCCCTGCCTGCCCTCATCCCCTGCCTGTCCTCATCCCCTGCCTGCCCTCAGCCCCTGCCTGCCCTCATCCCCCCTCATCCCCTGCCTGCCCTCATCCCCTCTGAGCCCCTGCCTGCCCTGAGCCCCTGCCTGCCCTCATCCCCTGCCTGCCCTGAGCCCCTGCTTGCCCTCATCCTCCACCTGCCCTCATCCCCTGTGTGTCCTCAGCCCCTGCCTGTCCCCAGCCCCTATCTATCCCAGCCCCTGCCTGTCCCCAACCCTTATCTATCCCAGCCCCTGCCTGTCCCCAGTTATTCTCCCTTTCAAAGTTCAGACAGTTATAGTTAAGATTTGGCCCCAGGAAATTAGTTATTGGGTGATAATAAACAATATGGAAAGAGGTAGAAATAAATGTCCTCTCCTGTGTGGGAGACTTGCAGAAAGCCAGGTACACTCCAGAGCTATGAGTGCCCCCCTGCACTTTCTGAGCAGGATGCAGCAGGATCTGTGTGCCCCCAGCAGCAATGGCTTCCTCAGCACAAAGCCCTTAGGATAGGCCCTTTCCCCACAGAAGTGGATGCATTTGGGTGGATTTGAGCAATCTCCTGGGTTTGTGGCTGTGCTTGGGGTGCAGAAGCCTTCCCAGCATGATGGAGCACTGCTTACGGCTTGGTGTCTTTTCTCTTCTCATGTAGTCTTGTGTGTGTGGACAAGAATGTGGCTTCTCCCAAGCTCTATGTCCTGGAGCCATGGATTGCTGACCTCTTGGTGAATTACGAGCAACAGGAGGAGCGTGAGAATTTCCTGGCTGGGCAGGTGGTGCAGGTAGGTACCCAGAGGGACTGTCCCAAAGTGCTCCAACAGCCTTTGAATCTGAATACTGGGAAATGCACAGTGGTTCCCAGTTTGGTGGCTGTGGATGTGCAACTCTTCCTCCTCAATGTCTCTGATTTTAAATTTTTTTTTGAGGAGGAAGAGCTTGGTGTCGTTACCGCCTTCCTGTGAAACTTGTTAGAGATCTATGAATAAGTTCTTTTTTTTTTCCCCTTCTCCAATCTCTTGGCAGGTCTTGAGTGACTCAACTGCTGCTGGCCAGCCTGAGGTCCACCAGGACGCTGTGGTGCAGGTCTCTGACGGATCCTGCTACATCCGTGTGGTCATTACAGCCGAAGCTCTGCAGGCAGAGGAAAAGTGGGTTCCAGCATGGCTTGGCGTGGTGGGGACAGCAGTTCTCCACAGCTGCTGTGAGGAGCTGGGGCTCCTGCCTGGCCTTGTTTCAGGCTGTGTTAAGCTAAAGCAACCTCAGGGTGGGAATTTGGTGCGAAAGAGCTGCTAAGAGAAGAAAGCTGGAATGCCCTTGCTCCAGTGTCTGCTGGGTGGGATGGGCAGGGATCCATGGCAAAAGCTGTGATGCCATTAGAAAGGACTGTAGAGCTCTTGGGTTTTGTGGAAGGAGGCAGATCATTAACCATGGTAGCCTGGGCTGCTCCTTCAGTGCTCCTTCAGGGTCCATTTCCCCATTTGGACACTCTTAAACTGCTGGGGTGCTGGTAGCAGAGAGCCAAGGATGAGCAGCAGGAAGAAGCTGCTCTTGAGCAGGAATTACTGAGGGATGAGGAGCCCTTGGTGCCTGGTGCTCATGCTGAGACATGTTACAGAATGGCCCGGTGTGGTTGGCAGAACTCTTGTGGGAGCCCCACTGTGTGTCAGGGGGGGTCCAGCTCTGTTCTTCAAGGCACTCCTGCTCTGCTCCTTTTCCAGCGCCCACCTGCAGCTCAGGCTGTCCAGCCTTAATTGCAGAATTATCGTCCTGCAGAAGTACACGGTGTGTTTTCAGGATGAGGCCAGACTGGTGAGTGCTCTGAGGAGCGGGAGCAGCCTGTTCCTCTACCTTGCTGTGCTTCCTGCACTCCTGCCTGCTTCCAGCTGCTCCCAGGAGCTGAAGGCAGGTGGTGGGTGGCTTTCATTTTCATCTGCAGCTCCCGTGGGGTCTGTGGCAGGTGACCTGGGCAAGGATGAGCCCTCACTGGGGATGGGGTGCATCTCTCCCAGGGTCACCTGGCTGTCACCTCTGCCTGTTGGGCAGCTGCAGAAGGCCTGCATGGGCTGTTGGCAGAGCAGCCCACTGTCCCCTTGCAGTGGTTCAGAGGTGTCCCCACAGCCTCCCCTGGGCTGGCCCACCCTGGTGTGTGGCTCTTGCAGAGCCATCAGCTGACACAGGAAGATACGAACTCCCCTTTGAAGGGGCGCTGTCCTTATTGAGGGGACCTTCTCTTAGACTGGAGGGTCGGTGGCAGAGCTGGGGTGGGTGTGGGAGTGCTGGCTGGCCCCAGGCAAGGCAGGGGCAGTGTGGGATGCAGAGGTGCCTTACAGGCTCTGTCCTCCCCACAGGAGGACTGCGAGTTTTACCTCACAGCCCAGCAGTTCATCGTGCTGCCCATGCAGAGGCAGAGGATGGAATCGTCCGACGGGTATGGCCCATGGGACGGGTGGGTGGGGGCTGTGCTCAAGGGGACTTCTTCATCTTCCCCACAGCAGCACTGGCCCTGGGAGTCCTGATGTGACCTGCTTGCAGCAATCCCTTTTGATGGAGGGATTGTCTCCAAGGCAAGGGAGAAGGGAGATGGGGATTTGGAGGGAATCAGTAACTGGCTTCTCTGTTGCTGTAGGAATCAAGACCCCTCTGTGGTGAAGAAGATAAAGGAGCTCTGGCTGTGAGTATGGGGCTGAGGGATGTATCCAGATACCCTGATGTGTGCAGCCTCAGACTGGGGTTAGAGCAGGCTGGCAAGGGCTGGCACAGGTTATGGCAGCTCCTGGTTAACCTGTGTGACTCCTTGCCCTGGAATGTGACAGAGTTGAATAGACTGTGAAAAATGAAATGGTGGTGGCACATTGCCAACCTTTTCCTCTGAGCTAGGAGGAAACACCTGTGGGGAGCTTGTTCCTGCCAGTGGTGGGCAGCACAGCTGCGTGGGTGAGCCCTGCACAGCTCATTCTTCATCCTTGGAGATCCAATACTGGAGATCCTCAGGGCCTTCAATCAGTCCTTCTCCAGGGGTGAGGCTTCCTGATGGCTATTCCTGGCGTTCTGAGCATGTGGCCAGTGGCCAGATCAGCACCCAGTGGTGGATCCACTACTTTCACAAGCTGCTTCTTCCAATCCAGGGTGCTGGATCTGTGACCAAGAGCTGTGTATGTCCCAGCCCTAACCTGGCTTTGTCTTCTCCTTGGTCATTACAGGAGGAATCTTGCTGTGAGGAACGCTGCCAGCTCAGGTAAAGGGTTATGGGTGGCATGCAATGCTCTGACTGCCTGGGAGAGCCCTTGGGTTTCCTCAGCTTGTCCATGTTAGGCAGAGGTAGCAGAAACCTGGTCAGATCTCACAAGCGTACATTGCTAAGCCCGAAGCAGGAAGAGATAATGCTGACAGCTAAAGCATAGCGGGACATTAAATACCTGTGCTCATGCTCCTGGTCCAGGATTTGTGAAAAAAGGAAAGATAGTTTCTAGAAGCAAAGGAAATGCAGAATTGTGGGTGTTCCCACAGGTGTCTGTGTCATGACAGTCGCCAAGTCATGCAGCAGGGTAAAAGGGTTTGCAAGTGAGGCTTGCCTGAGTTCAGCTGTCTCCTCCACTGATGTGTGTTGTGTTCTTGCTCTAGAGCCCTCTGTCTCTCAGCTGATTGATGCCATAGGACAGAACCAGCTGGAGATTTTGAAGGAAAATGCTGAGGAATGCTTGGATTTATGGAAATCAAAGGAGAAGCCAGTGACAGTGGAGGACGAGGTTCCCATCACCCAGTGGGAGGCAGAGCGCAAGAAGGAGGTCAGTCTGTCTGCTGGGACCAGCTGAGACAGGGCTCTGACAGCTTGGGGTGCTCTGGTGGGTGGGAGAAGGAAGGCAAAGGACAGTGGGCAGAGCTGGAGGTTTGCTGGGGAGGGAGGTGGCGTTGGGTTGGCAGGTACAGGTGGACTCCTGCATCTGGAGATGGACTGCCCAGCAAAAACCTTGTCATGTGTCTCATTTCAGCAGGGTGAGGACGTTTTCATGGTCCCAGTCAGTGCCCTGGTGATCCCTCCTGAGCAGGAGGCAGTTGTTTGTGATTCTTCTGAGGCAGCATCTGCAGGGTACACAGGTACACAGTGCAGCACCCAGGCATGTGAAATTAAGGGCTCCCTAGGGTGGGGAGGAGAGTTCCCTTGCTCTGGGTGTGTTTCGTGCTGGGGATATGACCAACAGTGCCCCTTTCGTTGCAGAGACAAGTCAAGCAGCTCCTGGAAAGAGTAGTGATGACAAGACAGTGCCAGGAGACCAGAGCGTTGTGTCTCAAATCAGCTGTGAGTAGTGGAATCTCCAGATCCTGGAACGATTTGTGTTGGAAGGGACCTTAAAGAATATCTAGACCCAGTTCTTGCCACGAGCAGGGACACATTCCACTAGACCAGGTTGCTCTAAGCCATGTCCAGCTTAGCCTTGAACACCTTCCAGGGTTGGGGTAGCCACAGCTTCACTGGCAATCTGTGCCAGGGCCTTCCCACCCTCACAGGGAAGAATTTCTTAAAAATATCTAATTTAACCCTGCCCTCTGTCAATGTGAAGCCATTCCCCTTTGTCCTGGCACTCCATGGCCTTGTCTAAAGTCCTTCTCCAGCCCTCTTGGAGCCTCTTTAGATTCTGGAAGGTTCTTGAAGGTCTCCCTGGAGCTTTCAATTCTCCAAGCTGAATAACCCCAACTCTCTCAGTCTGTCTCCATAGCAGAGGTGCTCCAGCCCTTGGATCATCCTCATGGCCTCCTATGAACGCTCCAGATCCCATCCAGCCTTTAGTTTCCTCTACAGTTGGCTCAGCCCATCTCCTTGGATTGAGTGGAGGAGGTACTGGTGTGGCCAGGTCTTTGGGAGACCTTGAGCAGGCAAGGGATGGTCCCAATCCTCAAGCTTCTTGAAGCTGCAGCTTTGGTGTATTGTGGGAGCACAAGAAGTCATTTTGGTGCCATCACGGAGCATGAGTCTCCTTCCCTGATGTGGGCTCCTCGCTGGCTCTGGTTCAGCACCACGATGGGTTTGTGTCACCTTACTTGGCTTGGTGTCACCAAGCTTTGCTGCAGAATTACCTGCAGAAGCTCTGTGTAGAGGAGGAGCTGAAGGGAAGAACTGTCCTGGACAGTGCAGGGTGTAGGAGAAGGCCTTCTTCATACCTGCCTGCTCCCTGGGCAGTGTCTGCCTCTCCGCTGCCTGCTCTGTGAGATCTTGGAAAGGGTCTCACTGGAATACACCACATTTTGGGCTGGAAATGGCTGCAGAACTCTCCTCGAGAGCTGTCTCCGAGACCTTGTGCACAGGGGACACAAGGAATGGGCAGCTGCTTTCTTTGCCAAAATCAACCCTCCGGCTTCTTCACTGCAGGTGCCGCATCACCGACCTTGTCAGACAGCCTGGAGGGATCCCTGGACAACCCCTGGAACAGGCTGCCCTCGTTGTCTTTGACCCCGAGCTCTTCAGATGGTGAGTCCCCATGTCCCAGGGCATCCAGCCTGCCTTCCTGGCAGGAGGCAGCTCCTCTCTTCTCAATGGGTGGAGCTCACCCTGGATGCTGGTGGGATTTCCCCTGGCCATAAAACAGTGCTGTGGTGTTCCCATAGCCCTGGACCTGCATCATTCCAGCCCTGACACTCTTCCTGTGTGCCAGGGCCCGGCTCACACTGATGATGCTTTTCCCCTTACTAGAGAAGACCTTTCAAGCTGACCCTCCCCTGAAGACCCAGAAAGATGTGGCTGCTGACAGCAACACCACTGACCTGTTGGAAGTGTGTAGCCAGAGCTCTCCTGAGAGCTTGCCCCAGGGAGAGCCAGCACAGATCTCCTCTCCCTCCCTGCTGCGCTGCTACAGCAATCCCAGTCCGGCGGAGAGCAGCACCAGTGAGGCGGCATCAGCGGCGGGGGCAGCCCGGGGTGCCCTGTGTGCTGATCAAGGCCCACAGGGATCCAGGGGCACTCTGGCCACCCTGCCCACTCTTTCTCCAGTTTTTCCAGTCTTGCCCAGCAGCAGCTTGCAATTGCCACCTGGCAGGATTCCTCACAGGGAGCAGGCCTGCTCCAGTGGCACAGCTTCCTCTACAGATGTGTTGAAGCCTGGACTGGCTCATACCAGGACAAAGGGAGGAGAGACTGTGGGTGCCAAGAGGAAGCTGGTGGAGGAAGATGAGCAGGCCCCCAGTGGGCAGCAGCATCTTCCAGGCACTTCGAAGGGCAGGGGGAGAGGCAGAAGCAAGAGACTGGTGCTCACAAGCTCATGGGGTGCAAAGAAGAGCAGAAAGGAAACAAGGCTGCAGCGTAGAAAGGAGCTTGAGGAGAAGGAGGAGGAGGAAATGGAGAAGGAGGAGGAGGAGGAAGAGCAAGCATCCCCTGCAAGAGCTGGACCCAGCTCCAGGCTGGAGCAGTGCACAGCTCCAGAGCCGGTAAATATGAAGCAGCTGGTGAGGTCCCCTGAGGGCTGGGGGTGCCTGGGGAGGCTCTCTGTGCCCACACCTCTGGTGTCCATCCCCAGGATCGTTCCTCAGCAGGCTGGTGGAGATGGGAAGTTGAATGCAGGTGTCAGTGTAGATGGTGGAGGATCTGGGAACCCTGAGGGAATTACGAGGGAATTATGTAATCAATAAGGCTGGAAGGGAGCTCCTGAGATGGAAGTCTAACCATTCCCCAGCACTGCCAAGCCCACCACTAAGCCATAGCCCCAACTGCCATGTCCACAGGCCTTTAAATCCCTCCAGGGATGGTGAAGATGTGATTTAGCCTGAGCTAAACAACTGGATAGGAACAAACAATTGCTGGAGCATCTTCTGAGCTATCTGGGTGAAAGAAGATCAAAAGAACAGAGGGAGAGACACCTCAATCCTAGGTGTTTTCCTGTGGTTGTTGGGCTCTCAGGCTGCATGGGGCAGCACTCTGGGTGCTGTGCCTGGAGCAGACCCATCTCACCCTCCCCTTTGCTTCTGTAGTTCGTGGAAAGACCACCCCAGTACCAGTATGAGGCACCGAGTCCTGAGCTCTGCCAGCAGGTACAATCTATCAGGTCAGTGCCACATCAGCCATGGACTTGTGGCTGTCCCTTGTTCCTGCAGTTGGACTCATACCTACAGTGAGTCCCCAGCCTCTGCCCTACCCCTGGTCACCAGCTGCCCCAGTGGTATGTCCACACCAGCGCAAGGTTTCTTCTCACCCTGGCTCCTCCTGTCTGGTTTCTCAGGATCTCAAAGGCAATGCTGAAGTGGGCATGCTGGATACTGACTGAGGAGGATGAAGACTCCTGAGCCCAGCCCATCTTTCATTTCTTTGTTTCTTCAATGGGTCTGTAAGAACACTGGGAGAGTGTCTGGGGGGAGGGATGTGGGGATACCAGAAGCTCTGTGGCCCAGGGGACTGCTGAGTGGGCTGGCCTGGCTGCAGAGACCCTGGTTCCAGGGGTGCTGGCATATGACCTGGTGAAAGCCGATACCCTCAGTGCCAAGAGGGGAGAAAAGCATTCATTCAGGCATGCCTGTGTGTGAGCCAGCATCCCTCTCCCACCTCTTCATCCTTTTCAAATGCCTTGTCCCAGCAAGTGGAGACAAGAGGTGACCCAGTGCCACCATAGCAGCAATGGCAGAGGCCCCACAAGTTGATCCTGCTCCAAAGGTTCTCCAGGAGCTTGGATGGTTTATTGAATAAGTTTAGGTAGGGTCCTGCACTGTTTATTACAAAAAATATCCGGCAGGGTTATGCTGTAGAAATTAAAAATTGTATATTTTTTAAATACACAGCTCTTGTATTAAAAAAAAAAAGAAAAAAAACCAAAACAAAACAAGCATCTTGCTTTGTCGTAAACATCCGTGTAAGGAATGCGTTTGGTCCGGAGCAGAGGGCAACGCAGGAGAAAGCCACTGGGGTGTCAGGATCACGCTGGTGCCGTCAGGGAGCTGCGGGGATGGAGCTGCGTGCTGGAAGGCGGTGGTGGGTCGTGGTCCCGCTGATGAAAGCCTGTGTCTGGCGGGGGCTGGAGAGAGCAGTACCCCATGGGGTCAGGAGCTGGAGTGGTGAAAGTGCCTTGGGAACGCTTCCTAAAAATAGCTGGCTGCCTAAAATCACCGGCTCCCCCGCTGCAGCCCACAGCAACAGAGGGCACTGGGGACTGCAACACCACTGGATGTGTCCTGCAGGCTCTGACAGTCCCTGGGCATCCTGGGCAATGCTGGTGGCCCCGCTGTCCCCATGGCGAAAATGGGGCGATGCCATCATTGGCACATCCACGCCAGCCTGGTGCCCCGTCCATCCTCTCTGCACCCCAGCTGCCAAGCACCCCGGCACGGCGCACTTGCTTGCAGGGTTTATTGGGAGCAGCGTGGTGACATGCAGGGGCTTCACTGTCCCAGGGCCGGCTCCTCCCGGCCCGGCACTGGGCGTCTTTGGTCTACGGCAGCTGAGTCTTGTGCATTCCCAACAGTTTGTGCCAGGGCTTGCGGCTGCTCACCCTCAGTGCCTGTGCCAGCCTGCGGCTCCTCCAGCCCGGCACGGGGCCAGTCCTGCAGCGTGGCACCTACAGAGGTCACAGGTGCTGGTGTAAGCATGGGGGGACCTTGGGTACCCCAACACCTGCTTTAGCAGGGAGGGGAACATCTCACCTTCAGCATCCGAGGTTGGTCCAGGCTCACCCTCCATCTCTGAGAGGGATTCGTGCTTGGTCCTGTGCCTGAGCACAGGCGAACGCCGCAGGCGCAGGGGAACGGTGCCCACTGGAGGAAACACAACCCAGGCCCGTGTTAGGGTGGGGCACAGTGGCCTGGCTCCTGCTGGAACTGAGCCCAGTGCTGAATTCCCCTCGGGAACTTCCCAGTGTGGCAGTGCCATTGTCTGTCACCCACCAGCTGGGCGAGGCAGCACCAGCACGCGTATGGAACACCACCACCCACCTCTGTTGGCAGTAGGTGCAAGGAGGGCTTGGGGTCCCACTTCACACCCAACTTACTTCCCAGCTCTGCCGGGCACTCGGGCTCCCTGAGCTGCTCCTCATGGACGGACAGTGCTCGGCGGCCGGTCCCCCGTGGCGCTGCCAGCCGTGCCATCAGCCGGTTGTCTGTGTAAGCAACGGGGAGGTGCCATTGGAAGACAGCCCACAGCACCTCGCTTGGCAGGCCCCATGGGCACCCAGCACCCACCACGTGCTTGGCTCCCTGCTGCCCTCCATCCCAAGGGCTCCAAGAACAGGCCAGCAGTGGAATGAGGCAACCATGGGCACCTCGTGCATCCCTACCTTCGGTATTGGGTGGTGTGGGCAGGGTGCCAGCACCCACCTCCCCACCATGGCTGACCCTCCGTGGCAGTGCCACCGGCACATTCCTGCCCAGCCGTGGCAGGCTGCTGCTCCAGCCCTCCCGGCCCCCGGGCTCCGGCAGCCCGCTGGGCTCTGCTAGGGTGAAGGAGCGCCGGGGCTGGTCGGAGCTGGTGGCCGGTGGCTCAGCGGGCAGCTGCCTTCCCAGGGCTTTCCGGGGCTCGGCGCTGGGCTCCGTCCTGGCGGCTGCGCTGCGGAAGGGTGCGTCTGTGGGGCAGGCAGGATGGAGCTGTGGGCCTCCAGAAGTGACGGCCCCAGGGATGGTTCTTGGTGCTGGGAACCAGCCTGCAGTCAGCCCAGGGACTGGGCAATGGGCTAGTGTCCATCTGCCAACGCCAGGGATGGGCACCCATGGGAGTAGGGCACCCTCCCGAGGGTGACATTCTGCCCACGTGCCTGTGCCCACTGGTCCCTGTTGGCTCCAGTCCCCGTACTTGGTGCTAGGAGAGGGGATAAAGCCCTCTGCCCCAGGGGCTGGTGTGACCCCCAGCACGCACTGCTGACCCACCTGTGGACACAGAGTGTGTGCGGGCCTTCAGGGACGGGGGCGAGTCCGCAGAGCTGTCTACGATGTCCCCTGCAAGCACAAGCCACCGGCCAGCATCACTGAGCTGGGGGCTGCCCAGTGCCACCAAGGGAAAGATGTAGTGGGACCCACAGCTGGGAGTCCAAGGGGGCCTGCCCATGGCCACCCATGGGTGCTCAGCTGGGTGGGGGTCAGGGTGGGGAGGGAGCAGCCCCTTACCATCTGAGCCAGCTTTCTTGATCTCGCTGTCTTTGCTCTGCAAGGGGGAAAAAATGGTAAGGGGGGTATCAGGGAGGCAGTGCCCACAGAGACAATGGGTGCAGAGGGCACAGCGCTGCTGCCAGGCTCTGATGTGGCTGCAGGGGATGGGTGCATGCCAGGAAAGGAGGGACAGATTGACAGACACCATGCAGTGTATAGGAATTCACCCCTTGCAGAGGGTTAGGTGACAGGGCAGAGGCTATGGACAGTGGCAGCACAGAGCTGGGTGCTGCCATTCCCAGCTGGGAGATGTCCCCACTCTAAGGACCACCATCTCCTACCACCCTGGAGGGACAGGGTTCATCCCAAAAATGGAACCAGTCCCCACCTGCTGCTTCTTGCTCTCAGCAGCCGGGCCCTTGGTGACGCCGATGCGATGGAGCATGACCTGCACACGCTGCTCAAAAGAGCTGGACAACTCCCCCTCGCTCTTCTCCAGCTGCCTCTTCTGCAGGAGAGACACAACTCTGCTGCCAGGAACATGGACTCACCACAGCACCTATGGCACCCACACTCCTGCCTGCGGGGCACCCACATTCCCAACCCCAGGCATGCTGCCAGGAGATGGTGACACGGACACGACCCAGTGGGGATATCCCCAGCCATCACTCCAGTGTCCCCGCATTCCCTGGTAACCCCAATGACATCCATGGATGGGAGCAGCACCCACCAGGTGAGCTGAACAGTGGTGGTGGCTTGGTGACCGTGACAGTGCTTACCTTGTCATGCCTGACCCCCAGTGCATCCTCGTCCTCCCCGGACAGCAAGATGAGTGACTGGGATTTGCCCTCCCGAGAGTACTTGGGCCGGATCCTCCGGGCAGAGTCAGGGGTCTGGCAGTGCTCGGGCTCTGCGTGGGGCTCGGCAGAGAGACCCCCCTCCTCCGATTTACTCAGGGGCTTCCCTGACTCGCCTGCCTTGCTGGGGGCTCGTAAAATGTCACTGAGCATCGAGCGCCTGCTCCTGGGGGCAGTGGGACCACCCTCGGGCTCCTTCTCACACCTCGAGCCCCGGCTGGATTTGGGTTTCTTGAAGGCAAAAAAAATCCCAATTTTCTTCTTGAGGGTGCGGGAACCAGAGGGAGCCAGAGGGGCTGAACCCGGGCAGGTCTCCGGAGTCGTGGGGCTGGGGAGAGACGAAGCATTGGGAAAGGTGAGCTCCAGGCTGCCAAGAGGTAAGGGATCAGTTTTTTCACCCTGCCCACCCAAAAGGGATGGATCCAGATCCTGGGCACTCCACCTGAGATGGCAGTGTCTATTCCCGGCATAGTTCCCATGGGGGCTGCCTCATTGCCTCCCCACTGTGGAACAGACTCCACGGCCACATCCACCACACCATTGCTGCCATCCCATTCCTCTTCCCCCAGCCTTGCCCTGGGCAATATCCCTGGGTGTGCTGCTTTCCCCAGCACTGGGGCCAGCAGCGTTTGCAGGGAGGCTGCTGAAACCTGGGGATGGGTGTGTGCTGGGCAGGTGAGGGGCCCTGAGCAGCCCCCGGGCTTACGGCAGTGTTTCTGTGATGAGCCTCTTGGCAAAGAAGTCCTCCAGCCCCTCGTCCACACGGGTAATGCTCCTGTCCTCGCTGTTCTCACAGGCCACAGGCTGCACCTGTGAGGGACAGCTGCTGTCAGCCCAGCTCAGGGAAAAGGTGCCCCTGGGCATGAAGGTGTGTCACCCACCCCTGGGCATGAACAAGTGTGTGCCCCTGCAGGATGGGTGCTGGCACGCTGCATCTCGTACCCAGCATTAAAGCCAAACCACAATGTTATCAGCTGCATCTGAGGTCCAATCCTGCTCCCTCCCTTGAGCACTGGGAGCTCCAGACAGCCCCAGGCCCCTTGCAACCCCTTGCCCAGCACAGTGGCTGAGGTATGGCACTCATGCTGCGGGAGAAGCCTTTGGCAGGGATGCTCCCTCCATCTGAGCTCCAAGAAAGGGACCCCTCTGCTGCTGGCGGGTGATGGAACAGGTGACCTGCAAGGACCCACATCTGCATCCTTCAGATGTTGTAAGTACAACCTTGGAGTGCCACCACAGTCTGCATGAGAGCCACCTGCTCCCTCCCCATAACAGAGTGGTCCACGCCATGGCCAAGCCTTCCTCCATGGCACCTTCCTCTCCCTGGCATGTGCCACTGCATCAGTGGCATCCTGTCGATGAGAGGGAGGCGCTTCCCCATCGGTGGCATTTCAATCCATAATGACTTTTCATTACGGCTGGATTGATGCCGCTCAGGAGCCGTTCCAGCCATCTGAGATCTGCTCTCCCTGTCATATCACATCCATCAAAGCCTGTCCTTGCTCAAGCCTTGGCCCACCCTGGCTGCCAGGCATGCCTGTCCCACTGCACGGTGATGGCCCCCTGGCCCTGCCAACCTCCAGACCCACCCTGCCCGTGGGACACAGCTCCTGCCTCCCCTCCGGCCCCGTGCCACCGTGATCCAAGGGCAAGCACCACCACAGCCGTGCAAGCCAGGGCTTTCCAGCAAGTGAAAGGATCCAGCTGCATCACGGTGGCATGGGGATGAGGTGATGCCAGCAGGATCCAGCCCCAGGGACAGTGACGGAGCTGGACCTGCCACTGACTGCACCCAAAAGTTACTTTTCCTTTGGGGAGGGGGGTGCAA